AGCCTGGATTACATGGAGGAGTAGCCAGTGCTCCTAACTGACCCAGTTCCTCAGTCCTGTAACACTATAGCTTTAAGCATAGAGATCAGGCTAGACGCTTGAGGAAAAAGCCCAAGTGTCCACAAGCACTGATAATGCTAACCATGACGGGATGAATTCACCTGTCTCAGATGAACTGTGCTGGTCCTGGGTCCTCAAGACTGTTCATATATGGCCCAAGGGCTGGCTCATGTGGGTAGTGACACTTAGGAACCCCAAAGTCCCCCCAGGGCCTTTGGCCTAGAAATTCTGTTCCAGGAAAGAGAAACTTTAGAAATTCAGTTTTTTGTTTTTGTTATGAGTCCCAGGGCAGGAGACATCTGGCTGCTGGAGTGGCTCCCCACCCCTTCTGTTGCTGAGGTGTCAAAGGACTCTGTGACACTGAACCCCTCTTTTCTACCTAGGCCTCTAAGATGGCCGCATACCAAGTTGTGGAGCTACGGATCCTGACCAACTGGGGCCACCCTGAGTACACGTGTATCTACCGCTTCCGGGTGCATGGAGAGCCTGCCCACTAGTTTTTTGAGATCTTTTTGCCTGTTGCTAGCCCCATGGGAAGCTCACCGTTCCCAGCATCTACCCTTGCTCTGAGAATAGGTGCACAGCACCCCACCACTGCCCGCACATGCTTGTTAGCGCTGACTTCCAGGAGTAAGAACGAAGAGGCAGCATGTGTAGACTCCCTGCATAAGCCAAGCAGCTGGAGGTTGCCAACAGGCCCATGCCTCTCTTAATCTTCCCCCAGAGCTAGGCGCCTACCAGGGTGTATATATGTAGCATACTTTGGGGGACTGTGAGTCAGGAAGTGAGGTGGAGGGACTGGCACCAGTGAACTCCTGGTAGGTGCCAAAGCCATGGGTATGCCAAGCCAGAGTCCCAGGGATAAGCTGGGAGTCTTGTGGCCTTTTAGGACAGTCCTTAGTACTATTGCAGCTGGGACTGTCCCTGGCAGGTGCCTGGTAAATGACTCAGAGGCTGCTGTGCTCTTCCAGCATAGAAGGTACCATGGCCCATAGGAGCCCTGGAGTTTCTAGCAAATGGGACAAAACCAGCTCCTGTGTGCCTCTGAGGACTACTGTCTGTCTGTGCCAACCTAAGAGATTCCCAGTGCTGGGGACCATTGCTTTTTCTCCTGATGTGGGGTGAGGGTCTGTTTTCCATTCCTGCTGCATCCTGCCTGTGCTCCACAGCAAGCTTCCCATCCCCCGGGGAGGACCTAGCCCTGTCTTTGGGGCCTTTCTAGCAGGGTAGTCTAGAGGAGAGGGGAGAGGACTTCAGGGGTTCTCCTGATCCAGTGCCAATAGCCACAGTGTGGCTCAAGATATCAGGTAGAGGGGCTACACTAGCCCACCGCACTTAGAGTGGCCCTGTCCACTCTAAAGCAACTCCTTAAGCTCTCGGCTTTTGCTTAGATTGCTTCCTTTCTGGCCTGTATTGTGGCAGTTGGATGGGGGCTGAGAGGGAGGGAGGCTGGCAGAAGTTACCTTGTGTAGGGAGGAGGAAGAGGCTTCTAGATTGAACAATCCTGCTGTATTATATATAGAATTCTCAAGGTCTGTTTTTTTTTTGTTTTGTTTTTTTTTTTTAACTGAAAAAGCTACAGGCTTGATTTCTAGCCCCATTCTGAGGGGCACCAGCTGTTACCCAGTTTCCAGTTCTTGCCTCTGAGAGGGGCTTGGTCCTGCCTGTCTATGGAAGGGGCCAGGAGGAGCTGCTAGGCAGGGCAAGCAGAGGCCTGGTTAAGTGTTCAGGCGAAATGGCAACCTGTTCAGCCCTGCCCTCGGGGCTTGTTTTGTGCTCTCCTGTCACAAATGCTGCACTGTTGATTCTTTCAAAACAAAACAAAACAAAACAAAACAAACCTCTCCAGACTCTAATTTATGCCTATGCAAAAAATAAAGGATGCCCAGGATCAAATGGATTGTGCTTTTTTTCTGGTTGTCAAAGAGCAACTCCGCCGGGCGGGCAGTGGTGGCGAACACCTTTAATCCCAGCACTTGGGAGGCAGAGGATTTTTGAGTTTGAAGCCAGCCTGGTCTACAGAGTGAGTTCCAGGACAGCCAGGGCTATGCAGAGAAACGCTGTCTCAGAAAAACAAAACAAAACAAACAAACAAACAAAAAAGCAACTCAGCTGCTCTTGGGGGATACAGGGCCTGAATTCTTAGCCAGACCACACTAAAGACTTAGTCCTAATGCCCAGAAACCCAGGCCTTTGGTTAAAACCACTGGACAAACTTGGAACCCCAGCTAAGGTCCACTACAGTGTTTTCTGGATTTGAGGGCTGCCAGGAGGAAATGAGATGGCTTTAGGAGCTGTCAAGAACACTTCTATGGAGGAGGATGGGGGGGGGAGGGAGAAGAGGATGGGGGCTTCCCTGTCTGCTTAAACTCAGGCAGAGGGCCTCAGGCTGATAGAGGTGTCTCCTGAAGAGCCAGGATCTGCCAAGATGACAGCCAGATCGTTGCCTAGATTCAGCTCAGGTGATGCTTTACCAACCCGGAGGCGAATCCTACTGACCATGGCATCTTGCTTAGAGCTGGCCCTTGCCATGGCTGAGAAAATAAAAGCAGGAACTGGTCAGCAGGGAGGAGAGGGCACTGGCTAGAGTACAAGTTGGCCCAGAGCTTGGTCCAGAGCCCAGGGGCACTAGATCTGTACTCAGACCAAGGGCATAAAACATAAAACAGGCATCATGGGCAGGAGGAGCCCCAGCAAATTGCCCTGTAACTTGTCACATACTACCAGGGCTCAGTGCCTCTGCCGCCTGCCCGTGTTCAAATCCTGAGCCTCAGAGTCTGAGCTTCACACCATTATCTCCCTAGCTCTCCCCAAACCCAGCCAAACACACCGCGGCACCATGGCACATTGCTGTTCTATCACCGCAGTGCCAGACACCGATGAGCTGGAACTGTGCTGCATGTGATGTGAGGACCTGGCCACCTCCACCCCACTCCGAAGCCTCAGTTCTAGGAAAGTTGTACACACAATTTGCACATACAAAAGGCTGGGCCTTACACTTATGAGACTGACAGATTAGTATCTTTATTCTTTATTGACAACAAACAGGCTGGTATTTTCTCTAGCTGGAGAACCAAGAGGGCTGAGTTCTGCAGGGATCTTTGTAGTCCCTGTTAATGACAGTTCAACACTGAATTCAGTCAGCTCCCTTGGCCATATGCAGATCTACCTTCCCTGAGGGGCAGAGTCCAAACTGGTAGTTATGGCTGCTGAACACAATAGTTCTAGTGACCACTAATGCTGAGGGCACAGTTAAGTTCTACTTTGGCCCATTGCTGTAGGAAGTCAGAGCTGCCACCGTGCCATGCACCACCATGCTAAGGCCCCATTATTACAAAGGCAGCAGCCTAAGTGAGCCAGAGCCACAAAGCACAGGTAAACAGCTGGAGGGAGAGGACTGCTCCCAGCTGGGCAAGTCTGCAGGGCGAGCAGGAACTAATGCCACAGTACATAGCCCTTCCTTGAGCTTCAGTGTCCTTGTCCTCTGAGACAGCAGCAGTGAATGTCCAGCCGAGCAAGCCCACCCACAGCAGCACCACACTGCCTTCAGCCTGTCCAGAGCACCTGGTTCCCTCACACACTCAATGAATCCCTGGAAGCCGGGATCTGTAGTGAGGAAAGTGAGGTTCAAAACTAGCTGGTGGAGCACTATCACCTGTGGAAGAGGGACTCCGTCAGGTGCACAGGGCAGATAGAACCATGGCATGCCCGTGGCAGCACCCCCACCTGGAGGGCTGGGCAGGGAACATGACACTGTCAGCTTAGAACAAACTTTTATTGTGAATGCTGGTCTGGTCAGTCCATGGCCACGGGGCAGTGGTAACTAGAAACAGCTGGAAGGACAGGGAGGGAGGGAAGAGCAGTCAGGAGCAGAAGACAAGAGAACTTGGGAGAGGAGGCGGGGCTGTAGAGGGCCCTAGCCAGCTGCGTATCTGTCCTGGCTGAGAAGGAGCATCCCAGCCTCAGGTGGTGGTGCAGGGCTCTGCTCACACTGCTCTGGACAGCCCACCCTGCCCTAACCCAGTAGCAGTGCTTTTGATGGCCTAGAAGAGTCTACACTGCCATCTGCCCTTGTAAACCCCAATTAGGGCATCTGGGCTCAGGCCCTTCACTGCTATGTGGCATGGCTGTAGCAGCTGTCTTGGGGTGACATGTGGAAAAGGAGGGTTTCTAGTCCTGGCTTAACTCAGGAGTACCTCCCCTCCCCACCAAAGGAGGTACTACTACAAAACCCGATTCCAGGAAGACTCGGACCCACTCTAGTGCCCCGAACTCTGAGGCTCAGCCAGAGATCTAAATGGAAACAGGAAGAGCCTCCAGTGGGCACAGAAGCCAGAGCAGCCAGGGCCAGCCAGGGCCAGCCAGGGCCAGCCAGGCAAGCCCAGGATTGTCTCGAAGGATAAGCCCACCTAGTTCTTTGGATCCATGGTAAGGGTCAAGAGTCAGAGTAGGCAGTCCTACAATGCAGTCACCACAACCTCGATACACCACAGGTGCCCCTGAAGAGCTTGGAGGAAAAAGGAAGGACAAGAGAGGCCACCATTTCCCATTAAACTCCTCAAATCGTAGTTTGGGGGATCCCTGTTCTGGGAAAAGCTGCTAAGCCCAGAGGTCAGCCCCAAAGAAGGACTTCTAGCTAAGAGGGGCAATTGGCCAGGGAAGACAGGTACCTTGGGCTCTGAGTTTCCCTAAAGGTTCTGAGGATCTCGTCGAGACAAATACAGACAGATGGAAGGACAGGCAGGCAGTCAGCTCTTGGAGGCTGGTGTCCAGCTAGGACTGAAATGGAGACTGACAGGGTCAGCTGCACTTCTGCACACACCTGCTAAAGGTGTGTACATGCACACACTCACACAAACACACAGATACACACACACACACACACACACACACACACACACACACACACACACACAC